ATTTGAGTTCGTTTTTCATCATTAATATATAAATAACCTTCTCTACATGGTATTTTATTTGATAGACTGATTTTCTTCGGACTTTATACCTGTTGTCATGTAAATCAATGGACTTGTAATGTTCGAAATCTGAACCATGGACTAATCCACAATTGATACACTCAAATTAACCATTTTTCGAATTAACATTTCGATTCTTTCAGCATTTCTCTTCAACTGGTTAATTTTTTTTGATCACTTCATCACAGAAAGGATAATAACTTTTTTTATCATCAATTCCTAAGTGAATATTATAGTCACACATCCGACATAAACTATATATATATATATATATATAAAGCTATTTATAAAAAAAACTTTAAATATTCTCGAGATCATTTATCCATTTTCTAAACTCATCAATTAAATTAACTAAGGTTTCATTTGCTTCTAAATAATATTTGATATGATTAAAGATCATATACAATGCTGTGATAAAAGTCAACATCTATATATTTATTAATTATTTTTTTCACAAGTTTGAACAAGCTTGAACCAGTTTGAACTGGTTTTAGATCCGCCATTTTGATTTTTTATGAGTCTGTGTTTTTGGATTCCGACTTTGTTGAAAATAGTTTTCAATATAGTTTTCAAATTTCTGGATTTTTGATTTTTGATCTTAATTTTTCGATGTATTTTTCAAATTCTTCGAAAACATTTTTTAGATCAAATTTTTTTTTATTTTGAGCCCACTGAGGAGCATTCTTCTGAAACCCCCAATTACATACTACTTAAGAATAGCATATGATAATTCGGAGACAGTTAAAAGGACAAAAGAAACTGCTTTTCATATTCAGATGGCGAGGAAGAGGGGATCACCAAGGGATTCTGAGCCCTACTCTAAGAAAGAGATTCAGATTATAGAGCTATGCTGTCTTGAAAGGTCCTAAGAACACGACTTAGTTTGTGGTTAAAGATTAACTTGCTTGACGACAACACTGACATTGCAAACTAATAAAGGCAACACGTGCATTGCGTCAACTTGGCAGCAGACGTGGGGGGAAATCCAGAGGCAGGTCCAGGATAGGGAAGAATTAGAAGATTTCGTCGTTTCTCCATACGCTAAGAGGCGCGACGGGCAGTAAGTAAATGCATTGTGTCTCTCTTA